CTGCGTTGTCACACCTCAGGCCCCTTCCCTGCCCCCAGCCTGGCCCCCGGGCGAGGGTGCCCTGTGCACCCAGCCTGCCGGCCGCAGGGTGCGCTTGCTCACACGTCCCCTCTTGTTCCGGAAGCCTCATTCTAGCTGGGACACCTATTTATCTATGATGCACTCAAGGGGGAGGCGGCCCTGGAACGGCACCCTGCATGGGGGCTCGAGAGCATATGAGGACACTGCCGCCCCCACCCACGCACGTCCCGGTGCAGGAACCAGAAGGCCGGCGGGCTGCACGCTCGCTCGGTCAGACAGAGTCCTGGGGCCAGTTTGCGGACGGGAGGGTGCCGGGGCCAAGCTGAGCAGGGAGTAAAGATCCTGCCCTGGGTCGGGCACGTCAACCCCCTCCACAGATGGAACCCGGTCAGGTCTAAGCAAGGCGATCCGAGGTGGTCCCAATGTGCACATGCCCTTGACTCGGGCCACTCTGAGGCCCTCCCAGTACAGGGCATGATGATGACCAGGCAGGCCCCCAGCTGCTCGACCTGGCTTTGCACAACCCAGTCAGAGGTCGGAGGCTGTAGGACAACTCGGGATCCCCCACCACCTCGGTGTCTGCAAGTTACTATCAGGTGTCGAAAATAACACGAGGGGTTTCCACGGACAGTCTGGCTGGGTCACTCACAACTGCCCAACTTCCTGCCATGGCCCACAGAAAGCCAGGAGGAAGGCTTGGGAGGAGGAGGAGTTCTAGAAGTTTCTAGAAGTTTCTAGAACTCCACCGCGGGAGCCTGCCTTGTGGACTCCTCACACAGTTTCTGGCCAGCATCTGGCAGACGCTACCTGAAAAAAGGCCCTCAGCCACCAGAGTTATGAGATGTGACTCCAGGAATCCGGAGAGAAACCAGCTCCTCTGCTATTTCACTTCTTTCTGGAGCATCAGGATGGCCAAGAGCCTGGGGCTCCCCGGGAGAGGCACCCCCGCATCTGGGGACAGCCCTGGGGGCCCTGACCACTGGCTGGGGTCAGGCCACCTCCTCTGCAGTGGATGTCCCCACGGGCGGCCTCGTTCACTCCTTCCACCACCGCTCACTGAGCAGAAAACTGCCTTGACTCGTGTCCAGTTCCATTCAGTCATTCATTCTCCTGCCCAGTAAGTGCCAACGGGACTCCTGGGAGCCGAGGGCGTGTGTGCCAGGAGCTGGCGTCACAGAGCAGGTGCCAGTGGAGATGCAGGTCCCGAGAGCTGGCGTCACAGAGCAGGTGTCACACACACACACTGGGAGGACAGCGGGGGGAACGGGCCGGGTGTGGCCTGCAGACACGGAAGACGGGGTCCAGCCCGAGGAGGCGCGGGGAGGGGCACACGGGTGATCCGGGATGAGAAGGATGACGGGCATTCACTGGCGTTGCTGGATCCGCACGCAACCCACGCCCTTCTAGTAACGGAGCCTGCATTTTCCCTGGAGCGCCATCGCCTCCGTCGTTCTTTGCGGTGGGGGCTGGCTCCTCCCCTCAGCTGGGATGGCTCTGTGACCCAAGCCCGGCTAACCGCATCATCAGATTCCCCTGCCGGAGACTCACCCGGCGGCGGACACGGAGCCCTGGGCAGAGCGCGACACTCTTGATTTTTCACCTAAATGACTGAGAAAGAAGAGTGCTGAGCTTTCTAGAAGATGCAGGTATTCGTGAGACTCGGATCCCACATGGAGACCCACGGCACGAAAAGGGAATCAGATTTGTGAGGCAGAAAGGGAAGACAAAACCGCGGTACTGTCACAGGAGCCCCTGGATCGAGCCACGTCTGAAGCCGTCACCCTGGACGTTTCTGTTATACGAGGCAGTGAATTCTATTATTTGCGAGAGCTGCTTTGAGTTGTGTTTCTGCCACTTGAGATCGTATTACGACAAAGACAAACCTGCCTGGTATTTTTCAATGCCATGTCAGGGTCTGCTTGGGGACGGGGAATTGGAAGAAACTCTCGTACTAATCACGAAGATTTAAAAACTTGCTCTGGATCAGCGTTTCCCAGAGCTCTTAGTCATTCTGTACAAAGAGCCCCAAGTTCAATAGCACCCTGGGGAGCTCTGGCCTGACCACGGGGAACCTCTCTCTTCTCCTCTTCTAGAGGACACTGGGTTGCTTAGAGATTTTATGAGCTAATGTGTTTATGAATCTCAAACAGGGAGGGAGAGACACAGCACTTCCCAGCCCAGTTGTCCCGGGAGTCTGTTTTGAGGGCACACACGGAAACACAGCGTCCTCCACACACATGCACACATGCACACACACGAGAATTTGGAGGTGAAACCGTAGGAATCCAAGTCTATTTCTGGAAACCACCTACTCTGGCCACAGGGGACATGGCGCGTCCTCGGGGCTCTGTCCGTTCGGCACCTGAGCACCCGAGCCTCTCTGTCTGCTCCCCTGCAGTGAAGGGAAGTGAGCAGCAGAGGCTCCCGGCAAGATGCTAAGACGTCTGCAGCGGAAGCCTCACACAGTCGTCCGAGGAACCGCCAGCCTTGTGCCCGGTCCGAGTGTCTGCTTCCTGGACGCGTTTTCCCAGCTCAACCACATCTCGGTGCGACATTCTTCCATCTGGGATCCGACGCCCACGCGTCTGCCCCACGGTTCTCCCGCTTGCTGTGTCTCCAGATACTTGGGAGACGGTCTCTGTACGGAGGAG